ACAACTGTTGACGATAACGTATATGCCGTAGGAATGAACAGTTTGGCCACCTGGATCAACTACTTAAGTGATGTAAGTGCGGGTGGGGCCACAGTCTTCCCATATTTAAATGTGGCCATAAAACCAAAAAAAGGGTCGGCCCTGTTTTGGTATAACCTAAAAAAATCAGGCCTAATAGATATGCAAACACTTCATTGCGGGTGTCCTGTCCTGATGGGCGACAAGTGGATCGCCACCAAATGGATACCTGAAGCCAGACAGGAGTTCCATAAGCCCTGTACTCTCGATAAATATGAATTAAACTATTTATGAAAAAATATGTATAAATAAAACTTACATTTATTAATGTAGCAAATTTTCAAGAGAATCTCTAAATTGAAGCACATTTTAAACAATTTTCCAAACACTTGTTAAGTATTAAATAATTTTTGTTATGAGTCTTTAACCACTATTTATATTATGTGAGACTTTGTTTGATAAAAATTAAAAAGTTTTTAATAATGAAACGTTTAGATTCAATTATAATTTACATAATTGTATTTAATATAATAATAACAAACACAAATAGTTTTGAAATAAATTATTCAAAGGTTGGACTTGTATTATTAAATGAACGGGCTATGTTTAATAGAATTAGAAATTATTTATCAAATGAAGAAAACAGATTTATACGATTAAAACAATTATCACAACACTTATCATATTTACATAATATTGCCATTCAAGACATGGAGTCATATTTAGGACATCCTATCAATATTTATAAACTCATTGACCGAATGGTAACTGATTGGAAAGAAGTGGAAGAATTAGTTGAACTAAACAAAGGATCTCTTAAGGAAATTACTGATCACTTAAGAAACTTCAAGGTTTATACAGATGTTAAATTTACAGGTATTTTACAATAACACTTTTTTTAATATTAATAAATTAATTTTAAAAATATTTTTAGATGCTGTGAATGGTATAGTAAATCTCGTAAAAACTAGTCATCTAGATGTGGATATGTTAGCAAATGGTTTGATTGAATACAACACCGCTTTTGGTGAACAAAGAATGTTCACTCATTCGGACACTAATAAAGTGTTACAAAGTTTTGATTGTTTTCTAATTGGAAAGCAATTCTATGACATCAATGAATATAATAATTCGATTCAATGGCTGGAAGTATCGCTCATTAATTTGAGTGGTGAACAGCATGTGTCCGATGATCTAAGAAAAGATATTTTTAAATACCTGTCCCTTTCTTATTACAAACTTAAAGCATATGGAGAAGCCATATATTATATGCACGAATCAATGAGAATAAATACAGATCCTGATGAAAATAATTTAAATGAGTTATCACTAGAACTTATGGTATGTATTGATAAAAAAAACTTTATTTGAGACAAACTTTATGATCACTAATACTTGATCTCAATTTAAGAACTTATCGAATGAATACGAGGAGGAAGAGCCATCTCAACCATTAAATCCTAATAATATGCTAAACAACGACTGGTGTCGAGGGGTTATCCGACCGCCAGAATCGGTTCGGTCTCAACTCAAATGCTTTCACTTAAACACAACTTTTATCCCATTTTTACGCTTAACTCGCATTAAAGTGGAAGAGATGTACAAAAGACCACATATTGTGGTAATCCATGAATTCCTATCGGAATTTGAAATACAGATTCTGAAAGCGTGGGCCACACCGGGACTGGAAAGGACGCAAGTTGTGAATGATACTACCGGTGCTTACATACCATCTAAAGATCGACTTGCATTTGGCAATTGGATTAAGGATGAACAGCACTCAGCGATGGCCACAATTAGCCGACGTATCAGTGCTATCACTGGTCTTGACTTAAGTACCGCCGAAGACGCTAATATCATCAGGTATGGAGTGGGGGGTTATTATGGGCACCATTACGATACTGATGTGTATGTGGTGGATAACCCGGTCATTAAACCCAAAAGGATAGCCACTTGGATCAACTACTTGAGCGATGTGGAGGCAGGAGGTGCCACTGTATTTCCTTATATTAATGTTGCAGTTTGGCCCGAAAAGGGTGCAGGGTTATTTTGGTATAACATGCTTACATCGGGTTTAATAGATGTAAATACAATACATGGGGGCTGTCCGGTACTGGTGGGCACCAAATGGATTGTTACCAAATGGATCCGTCCCACTGGACAGGAGTTTCGCAAACTTTGTGAAAATAATTTGTTGTCATATAATGTATTGGGAATCAATTCATAAAGTGTTTAGTTATTCTATATTAATTTTTTAATCAATTATTGAAAATATCTCAGTAAAATAAATATGAATTAAATTTATGATACTTTACAAAATATTTATATATTATTAATAAGTTAATCTTTTTATACAGTATTCAAGTAAAACCCTAGTTCATAAGTTAATGAACAGATTTTAAACACTTTCAAACACTTGTTTGTTTTAATTATTTTCTTATTAGTGTATAATCGGTGTTTTTATTCCAGATATAGTTATACTAGACTTAATTTAATAAAAATTAAAAAGTTTATAATAATGAAACATTTATGTTTTATTGTAATTTACATAATTGTATTTAATATAATAATAAACACAAATAGTTTTGAAATAAATTTTTTAAAGATTGACATTGTATTACAAAATGAACAACTCATGCTTAATAATATTAACAACTTTGTATCAAATGAAGAATACAGAATAATACGATTAAAACAATTATCACAACGAATAGCACATTTGCATGAGATTGCAATGCGAGACATGGAGTCGTGTTTAGGACATCCCATCGATGTCTATAAACTCATTGACCGAATGGTTACCGATTGGAAAAAAGTTGAAGATATTGTTGAGCCAAACAAAGACTCGTTTAAACAAATATCTGATCAGTTAAACGATTTTAAGATGTATACCAGTGTGGATTTTACAGGTACTGTATTAAATTATTTTATAATAAGCTCATTTTCATACTTTATTAAATTGAATTTATTCATTTTTAGATGCCGTCAATGGTATCGCAAATATTTTTAAAACAAGTCAACTCGATGTCAACTTAATAGCCAATGGTTTGATTGAATACAACACTACTTTTGGCGAACAAAAAATTTATTCACATTCAGACACTTATAAAGTGTTACAAAGTTTTGATTGTTTTCTAATCGGAAAACAATTCTATGACAACAAAGAATATAATAATTCCGTTCAATGGCTGGAAATATCACTCACGAAGTTTAATACTGAATATCACGTGTCGGATGAGTTACAAAAGGATATTCTTAAATACCTTTCCCTCTCTTATTATAAACTTAAGGAATATGAAGATGCAATTAATTATATGCAAGAATCGATGCAAATAACCACAAACTCGGATGAAAATCATTTAAATGAGTTAACGTTAGAACTCATGGTATGTATAATATTTAGTCTAACTTTACTATCACTAATACTTGATCTCAATCTAAGAACTTCTCGAATGATTATGAGGATGACGAGACTCCCAGTGAGCCAGCACAATTACCATGGGTTGTTATGAATAGTATAAACAACGACTTGTGTCGAGGGGTTATCCGACCGCCAGAATCGGTTCGGTCTCAACTCAAATGCTTTCACTTAAACACAACTTTTATCCCATATTTACGCTTAACTCGCATTAAAGTGGAAGAGATGTACAAAAGACCATAAAAATGTCTATTGTGTTTGTATTTTAAATAGTCATTTAATTTAAATGAATTCCCAGAATATATCTGAGATATTTTAAAAATACATTGTTTATGAGTATAATATTCAACTAGAATCTATGATATACATTAAAAATTATTATTATTATTTCATTTAATGCAATAAAAATGTTTATTAACAAAATATTTTGATGTTATAAATATAAATAAAGTTATAAACAGATAGAGCATAGAGTATTCATTGAATACAATTTTAAAATCATTGTTGATTTAAATTGTGAACAATGAGTACAAGCATGTTAAATAATATTTTATGATGTATTAGCTGCCCAACGAGTACCGTTGTTGAACATTCTCCTGGGGAACAAACCGGGGCGACCCAACCCGTAGTCAATTTGTCGGCGTGCAATATAGCCTGCTGTTAGTCGGCCCATTAGTCTATAGTCATTATGTCTATAATGATAGTAACTGTCTTGTGAGCGACTATAATTGTTCAAATTTTTGAAGTAGTAATTGAACAAATAATATTTTAACAGCATATATATTTGAATGGTAAAAAATTAACAAAGTTTATTATAATAATATATCTGATTAAGATGGCCACCACATTTATATTGACTGTAAAAAATGTTTGTTACCTGTACTAATTTTATTTATCTAAAAAAGGGAATTTCCCTTAATGATTGTGACATCTAATATTTATGAATACTAACTTGTTGAAAGTATAATTAATCTTAACACTTAATTATATACTATGTATTTGAATGTCATAAAAGTGCAAAGAAAATTTATATAATAAGAATAATAGATTTAAAATTATAATCAATAAACACATTGTCAAACTGGTGATTTCGATATGTTTTGCAGCGTTTTTGAACTTGTAACTAAATTTCTTAACGAATTTATTGAAACTAAAAATTTACAGACAATTAGATTAACAATTTAGAAAATCTTATTAAAAATCAAACTTTCATAAATTGATTTTAATAAAATATATATTTTATAAAATAGTAATTATATGAGAAAATTACAGTATAGTTAAATTGTGGAATGGGTTATGTGGAAATTGTAGTAAGATTTATAACCATTTCCGTCTTTAAGTTTTGAATCAATTTCGAGATTATTCTTCACTTTACGCCTACCATTACGACCACCATTAGTGCCATTATTACCCGGATTAATAGTTGTCGTATTGACTGGTATTGAATACGGTCGGGCTACACCGTATTGTCTGGGCGGACGTCTAGTATAACCCTGACAGTTGGCTGTGTACGTGGTTATCAGTAGTGCCATGAATGTCGTAATCACACCAATGGACAGCATAAACCTTATATAATTCATCACTTGTTTGTTATTTAATTGAAATTAAATTAAAACAGAATAGTTGTAAATTTTAACTAAATAATAAAATACTCAACTTAGAAATATTTATTAACTCTTTAAGATGTTGTACAATTTCTTAAAAGTAAAAGTTTGAAAGTATTAATGTTAAAATATTTTCTTTGTCTTAAATATTGCTTAATATCAAAAAGTGCAAACACTTATCAAATAGAGTATGAAGCTATTTAATTGGTTAATATTAGGGGAATTACAACATTACTTATAAAATATTTTAAATACTTAAGAATACATTGCACGTAAATATTAGCACAATTTGCCAATAAATCAAACACAGAATACACAATTCAGATATTAATACAGTATGTTACAACAATTTTGATTAAATGCCAATTTTTAAATGCTAATTCCAATGTTAAAAGTTTCAAATTTATAACATATAACATTGATCATAAATGTGATAAAATTAAATTTCAAATTGCTGAATGGATTACTTTAGTCCGATTTGTAACCCCTTTTGGTCTTATGTTTTGAATCCTTTTTGCGATTATCCTTTAATTTGCGTCTCCCGTCACTACGACTTCTGCCTTTATTATTGTCATTATTACCCGGATTATAAACAGTGGTATTGGTTGCGGGGAATCT